CCAGAGTGGGAAGGGTTAAGCTGAACACAGCCTTGTCCACCTGCAGGGGAGGAGCCTTCTGTCCCCACAGACAGCTGAGCCACTGAAGTGTGCACGGCTGCAAGTCACATTCAGCCTGAGCCAAGGCGGCCCTCTGGGTGCTCCTGGCCAAGGTCAGGGCAGGCGATGACCAGTCGTCCCAGCTCCCCCTGGCTGTGACGGTGGGGCTGGTGGTGATGTGTGTGTGATGTTATTGCATAAAGGGAGGGGAACCTACCCAGCCCCTTCAGAAGAAAGGCTGCTGTTCTGAGCTCCTTGTCCGGAATTCCTCCTTCTGAAGGTGTGACCAGAGGGGGACAGAGCCAGGTGCACTCCTGAACACCGGGTTCCTGTTCATGGCAGAGTCGCGCTATTAAATTCCTGCTATTCAAGGGGCAGAATGTGGCCTGGCTGTCCAGAGGCCTGCGTCCCAGAAGGGGGTGACTGGGTGTGATGCCTGCCTCTGTGGCCAAGTGTCCAGCCTCCTGCTGGGGTAGACCCTGAGGGGCAGAGCTGATTGCTCTCTCGGGGGGGGGGGGCCCTGGCACCTGCGGGGAGACCTGGATTCAGCTGGGAAGTGAGACAGAGGATGGCAGTGCGCTCTCTTTCTATCTTTGCCCCTCAAAAAAAACGAAGCTATTACTGGGAAAGCCTCAGATTCTAGTTTTTTTAAAAGCAAGCTGTTAGAGAGGTCTTACAAGCAGGCACAGCATGGAAACGCACTGGGAGAGCTGCTGGAGTGGGACAGCAGTGACCTGGGCAGGTGGTCTGCAGCTCAGCGGATGTCCCACCACCTGCTGGCCACGGGGTCTGGGTGAATTACATGAGCTCTGTGTTCCGGTTTACTCAGCTGTAAAATGCGCATGATAATGGCTTTTACATCACAGAATTGAAAAATGATGTGAGATGAGATGAGGAAAACAGCGCCCCCAAATTCTGAAGCCTATGAGAGTGTTTTTCATAATACGTGTTCTCCATGAACTCAAAAAAAAAAAAACCCCCACAAAAAACCCAGTTCATTTATTTACTTATTTGAGAGGTGAGGGTGCTGTGTGTGTGTGCATGTGTCTGTGGGTGTGTGCACACGGGGGGAGGCTCCAGGCCGCCCAGGAACACTCCCTCCTGCTCTCCCTGTGTAAAATCACTCCTCTATTCACACATGCCACCTCAGTCTTTCCCTCAGGGCTATACCACAGGTTCCTCCAACCCACATTGTGCCAGCCTCTCCCCCTGATCCTACTGGGGGCCCTGCCATCCTTGCCCCATTCCTGCCATCCTTGCCCCATCCCTGCCATCACTGGAGACTTGGGCCACCTGCAGAGGACAGCACAGTGGTTGGGAGGGCGAATCCCCTGGGGTTGGAATCCTGGCTGCTCAGGCACTTAGGATCCACTCAGCCTCAGTATTTCCAACTGGGAAGTGGGGAGAGGAGCAGCTCCTGCTTCCAGGAAGAAGCGGCTATGGAGGAATGAGGTCCAGCACCATTGGCAGGTCCAGTCCTGGGCTGGGGTGCCCGCACCTGGCTATGGCCACATCAGCACCTGCTGACTGCTTAGCCCAAAGTCACTCCTATGTCTTCCCGAACACTCAAAACGTGCTCGCACCAGGCTGATGTGGAACCACAGTCTAATGTGGATGCACAGCTCACCAGCTCCCTGCACACAGCAGGGCCTCAGACTGGTGTTCAGAGAGGAAGCTGTCCCCCTACTTGGTGGTTGGTGCTTTTCCTGATGGTCCTTTATGCTCAGTGCACACAGCCCCACCTTCATCTGAAGGAGCTGAGGCTTAGAGAGGGTGAGTGACTGGCCCAAGGTCCCATAGCTCCTCAGTGGCAAAGCCAGGAGCCAAATCCAGATCTGTCTAACATCAAAAGCCAAGTTCTTGACCACGAACCAAAGATCCAAGAGCAGGAGGGGTGACTGGTAAAGATGGCAGAAAGATGCCACCTATAAGACAACTGCGGAAAGCTGTGGCACATCCAGGGCCATGATGCCCTGCCAGTGAGGGGCACCTGCCTCCCCCTTTCCTCTTTCCAGTTTCCAGCCTCACACTGGGCAGGAAGCTGATCCGTAGCTTCTCTCCTGGTGACTGTGGCCAAATGGATCATGGAAATGAACTTGGCTGGTTTAGAACGGGAAGTGAAGACTCGGTTTGTGTTAGTGACCTTGAAGTGAACCTGTAATTCCTGCTATCTGGAGGTACAGACATGCCTTCTCCTCCCTTAACAAGACTCTCCCGGGCAGGTGGTTTGTGTGGTCAGGGGCAAAAGGGACTGGGGACAGCAGCAACACGACAGCATGGGGCACAGTGACTTTTCAAAGACCTTCCCCCAACCTGGGGAGCAGGGTCAGATGGCACCAGCCACAGCCAGACTGATGGCTAGGCAGAGGTGCTGAGGCCAACCTGGGCTGCCAAGAGGCCCAGCCCTGACTGCAGCGGCATGGGAGAGCCCAGGCAAGACAGAAGCATTAGCTCTCCATCACAGAACCGTGAGCCACAGGCATTGCTCTCTTAGCCACCAAGTTTGGAGAGGTGGTTTTGCAGCAACAGATAATGAAGGCAGAATGTGGACGAACATGATGCAAGCCCTGGTCTGCTGTGGGTACAGCCTGGCTGCCTTGGCTCGGGCACTCTGGTGAGCTACTCTGAGTGTGCCTTGGGAACCTGACCTGGTGCCCCTTCAACCCTCACCAGCACAAACACATACGGAACAGATCTGAGCCAAACTCACAGCCTAGAATCACGCCCAGCAACCGTGCAGTTAGAACAGCCCGCTTTGCTCAGCTGTGCTGTAGCTAGCTACAATTCCTGCATTGAGCCCTTCGGGCGGGGTGGGGGGGCTCTAACCCTCTGTGCCTGGGTGCTTTGTTATGTAACATCACCATAGCCAGAGCTGACTGCTACACTCAGCCTGTCTCGGTAACCCCGACAGTTACGGAGGTCCTGTGTCCTGCTGTTTTTCCTGAACCCCTCAAGTTTACAGGTGCAGATCTCAGAGTAGCAGGAGCATGGGCAATAGTCAGAGCCTGGGGCACCGAGTCACATCAGGGATGCTGAGCTCAGCAGACCCCAGCCTGCAGGAGGGAAGAACTGAGGTGGTGGGGGGCTGGATATGTGGGTTCCCCTCAGTGGGCCAAGGGGTCCCAGGTAATTATCTGGAGCAGGTTGCTGGAGTGGTCTCAGGAGAGGGAAGCTCCACGCTCACCGTAGCAGAAACTCACCTGGTCCCAACTGCACCTCTGCTTCCATGGTGATTGTTGCCTGACTTCTGACACTGGCCTGGATTTTTCTTGTGAACCTGACCCTGAGCTGCTTTCCTGGGCCTCCCGAATGGGGTAGAGGTGCTTCCCGCTGCGTGGTGTCCCCTCACACTGCGTGGTGTCCCCTCACACTGCGTGGTGTCCCCCATGCTGCATGGCGTCCCCTCACTGATCATGGACAGAGCCAGGAGAAGGAGGCTAGTGACAGGAGAGAGACAGTGACGGTGAGCGAGCGAGCAGGGGATGCACAGAGAGGGTATACACAGGAGCACAGCCCTTCCACAGTCAATGCCAAGGATGTAGGTATACCTGCCTGGTGACCAGGCAACTGCTCTTGTCCTCAGGCCACGGCAAGGCGGGGAGTCACTTTAGCAAGGGTTGAAGCTCTAGGCTCTGCACCCTCTTGGAACTGCCAGGCTAAAATAAGAGCAGAAGCCCCACCCACCTGTGTTGCTAAGTGTTCAGGATCTGTTAGTGGCCCCTGTTCCCACTCCTCTGTACTGTCAGCAGGGGCCGCACAGCCCGTCTTTGCTGTCAGCAGGGGCCGCACTGCCCATCTGTACTGTCAGCAGGGGCCGCACTGCCCGTCTGTGCTGTCAGCAGGGGCCGCACTGCCCGTCTGTGCTGTCAGCAGGGGCCGCACTGCCCGTCTGTGCTGTCAGCAGGGGCTGCACTGCCCGTCTGTGCTGTCAGCAGGGGCACACTGCCCATCTGTGCTGTCAGCAGTAGGTGCACTGCCCATCTGGCTGCAGGAGGACAGGATAGCCTTGGATAAGCAGAAGCTGCTGAGTGACCACCACCAGTGATGCTTTGGAGATTTGCAAAAAGATCCCTGGGACCCCTTCCTGCAATCAGCTGCCCCCTTGGGAGGGCACCACCGTCTCTGCTGGTGGAGAGACAGGGGCTGGAGTCTCTAGTGAGAATGGTGCCGACACTCCAGCCCTGCTCCTACCCGTTACGGTGCCCTGGCTCATGGGTTTCTCCCAGCTCCTTCTAAGCCCGAGGCCACTGTGCTCTACCAGGAGGGAGGGTGGTCCCTGTTCCCTAATCAGGTGTGTACCCCAAATGCTCTGCCTCTCCCTTCTCCAGCCAGCCCCTCCTGCAGCCACCTCTGCTGAGATGTATTGGAGTCAGCATCTGACCCCACACGGGGTCCGGAGCCATGGCCCTTGGGCTTTCTGCTGTCTCAGTGCAGCTCACCCCCACCCCAAATATACGCCCACTCTGTGCACGAGGGCTCCTTTGGGGAAAGGGTCTATGCACAAGTGACTAAGGATCTTGAGTGAAATCCTACCAGATCAGGGTGGGCCCTAAATCCAGTGGCACTGTGCTTACGAGAGAAGAGAAAGGAAGACGTGGAGGACCAGGCCACACTTGTGGTGACGGTGGTAGACATCACAGTGAGGAGTGCCACTGTGCCTGCCACCTCCACAAGCTGGGCGACAGCACGGACTGTACACCAGAGCCTCCCGGGGAGTGGGACCCTGCTGACTTCTCTACCCCCAGGGCGCCTCACTCAGATCACAAGGGCAAGTTCACTCTTTGTGTCTCATCTGCTTTCATCTGGTTCCCAAAGGTTGAACTACTTTTTCTTCTATTTTAAAGCCACTTGTAACTTTCCCCTTGGTGTTTCTAAGCCTTGCAAGCTCACGATTCCTGGCCCAGAACCCTGAGTCTGGGGACACATTTGGCAGGGGTTCTGTGACCATGTGCTGGACTCACCTTTCTCCTGTGCCATCTCTTGCAGACAGAAGTAGATGACCCTGGCTCCCAGGCTGAAGCCAATCAAGGTGACAGGTCGTTGGCCCTGGGGGAAAAGGACAGAGTGTCTGAGGGGCCCCAGCAGCCCTCGCCCACTGCTGAGAACCTCCTGCACCCTCGATGAGTCAGGCCTGTACTGTGTGGCCACGCTCACATTGTGAATCAATTCCCTCATTTCTACAGGAGGGCACCTGCCACTGAACGGGCTTCCTCTGAGGCCAACAGGCAGCTGCTGGCTGGGCTGACTCCCTTTCATCTCAGGCCACTTCTTCCCTGGGAGATGGGCTCAGGCAAGAGCTTCAGTGGGGTCTCCCATGTGGGTGGCAGGAGCCCAAACACTTAGCCTATTCTCCACTGCTTTCCCAGGCATAGCAGCAGGAAGTTGGATCAGAGGTAGAGCCACTGGGAGTCAGACTGGCACTCTGCTAAGGGATGCCAGTATTGCAGGAGGCGGTTTAACCTGCTGGCCCTGGCCATTGGTTAAGATCAGTAGATTGGGTAGTTTATTACAGCAGCTACAGAACACTGACACACATCACTTAGTCCTGGGTGGCGACACTGTTACCTGGAAGAGAGCAGACTTGCTACTTGGCCAGCCAGGGTCACTCTGGTCTTGGTCTTACTAGAGGCAGACATCTGTCTTGGCCAAGAGACAGACATCACTTGGACACTTGTCCTTCAATGTCAGTCTCTCTTTTTCCCACAGCGTAGTAGGTCTCTCGAATTCACACTTCCCCTTTCTGTTATTTGCGTCACTTGTAGTCAACTTCAGCCAGAAAATTTTAAGGAGAAAATTCCAGAAGCAAATAATCTATGTGTTTTAAATTGCTCTGAGTAGCAAGCTGGCATCTCACACTGTGCTGCTCTGTCCCACCAGGATGTGAGTCATCCTTTGCCCGGCGTATCCACACGGGGCAGGCTACCCTTCTGCAAGTCACTCAGGGGACACCTTGGTTACCAGATGTGAGCAAGTCACCTCTGTGAAACAGACTAGCAATGCGTCATGATCGTATCACTTCGTATCACCTCACATCATCTCACTGGGTCACCTCCACCACCACAAGAATGGTGACTGCAGTACAATGAGGCATTTTGAGCGGGAGATCATATTCATGTTCAACTAAAATATATTATTGCAACTGTTCTATTTTATTACTAGCTATTATTGCTAATATCTTACTGTGTTAATTTATAATTTAAACTTTATCATGGGTATGTCTAAGGGAGCTTCAAAAGGTTCATGCATTGTGGTGTACGAAACCTTGCAATCACACACATTTATACGTGTAGGAAACACAGTATACGAGGACACCTCTTAAGTTCATGGAAAGTGTGTATTAGGACAAAACGGTGCATGAACTGCAGAATGTTCTGTTTACCAAGATAAACTTATCTTAAAAATCCCACACAACTGAGAGGCAGACAGACAGGAAAAGAGAGCTGTTGTCTGCTGGTTTACTCCCTAGATCCCTACAACAGCTGGGGCTGGGCTGAGGCTGAAGCTGGGCACTGGGAACCCACTCCAGGCCCCCTCGGTGGGAGGGGAGGGCAAGTCCCTGAACCCTCATGACTGCCTCCCAGGACTGCGTTACTGGGAGGTCAGAGCTGTGAATGAAACCCAGACACTGATGTGGGATGCAGGCCTGTTAGCTGCCAGGTTAGAAATCCCTCCCTAGATTTAAGTCCATCCCTCTACTTTTCCAAGTACCTGTGTTATACAGCATCTGGTACTACCTGCCACTCAGGCGTCCAGTTGGGGCTCCTGGAGGACATCCCCTGAGGACAGAGGGGGAGGTACTGTCACTGCATGTCAGCTGGTTTGACTGCCACTCGGCATCATCTTCTTTGGCAGCTGAGGGTGGACATACAACATGGCGCTGGCCAACCAGACACCTGCTGGGACGCTGGTAGGCTTTGGTCCTTCCTTCTCATGCTTCCTGGAGCTCAGGCCACTGCTGTTCCGGCCCAGGAGGTCGAGATGACCCAGGACAGCGCAGCAAGATGGAAGCATCCGGGGCCTCTGCCCTGTGAGTGGCAGCTCAGTGTGGCATGGTCCTCCCCAGCCTCTCTGGCAGAAAAGAAACTGCGCTGTGGGAGCCCCTGCTGCTTTGGGTGTTCTCCCTCTGGTAGCAACACAGATCAGCAATCTCCAGTGACTAATTGCCTCTGACGCTAGTTCTCCAATGTTGGTCTCATTTACTCATATTTCCTATTTAAAAAAAATGTATTCAGCACTCCTTCCTCCCTGCTTAGCTTTTTAAATCTTATTTTTATTTGTTTATTAGAGGGACAGACAGACACATATACACTTGCAGAAAGAGAGAGAGAGCGTGAGGGAGTGAGCTCCCCTTTGCTGGGGACTGCCTGAGTGCGTGGCTGCTTTCCCGGAGTCTGTACTGCCAGGAACCTGAAGTCAGGAGCCAGAGCTGGCATCGAACCAGGACTCTGACACAGGCTACAGGCCTGTCCCTCCATCCAGGTGCATTTTCAAAGGGGAGTCTATTTTTACTGCACTCAAAGTGTGAAGCACTGTGGTGGTGAGTCTTCCCGGCCACCACACTCAGCATTAGGTCCCTGCAGACTTCTTCAGGTGGCAGTTTCGTAGCCCGAGAGGCGCATGGGTCACTGGCATGGGCATCCTGCTGGCAGCCTGCAGAACTCCTGTTATTGGCTTCACTGCTGTCTGGGTCAGAAGTGTCTGCTGCAGGGTACTGGGACTGAGTGTCGGAAGCTGACACGCAGGAGCCACCTCCCTCCGGCCAGTCGGCATCTTTCTGCCTTGCCCAGGTGGCCCTGTTACTTGGTGGAGACACACAGGCTCTGCCTCATGAGTCCATCCTAAGACACCATCAGGACTTGGACTAGCAGGGCAGCAGCCAAGACCAGCCATGCCCCCAAGGCCACCAGGCTGCCTCCAAGGGGACTTGCATGTATCCATCCCCACGTCTCCCTTGCTTCTCAGCCCTCACAGCCAAGCCCGAGTACCTGCTGTCGGGAGAGTAGGATGTGGGCCAGGTGCTTGCCGACCTCTGCTGACCGATGCAGGCATACCCCCCAGGGGTTGTCGATGACGTTGGCCATACTGAGGAGCGAAGCTGGCCAGGTCAGAGCGGCCACGATGCCTAGGGAGGCAGGAGATCCGTCATGGAGGGCACGCATGTGGGCAGTCTTCTGGGGACCTGACAGGCTAATGAACTCTCTGGTCTAGAGCTTGTCGGATTTGGAATCTGCCCATTTTCTAAATATTCTTGAACTGATAAATAGCAATGGGGGAGTTTGGGACACATGTGTTCCTTATACGTGGACTAAACTGCTGCTCAAGCACTCATGACACGTGGGGTACTGAAGACGGCCCCAACCTGTCACCACACCCAGCTGCTCCTCCTGCTTTGCCTAGTGGCTCCGTGGTGCGCCTTGTCACAGCTCCCCCTCTGTGGAGTTAGGAGTGAGGTCTGAGGTGGATTTGTGTTGGGGGCTATTTCTCCCAGGGCTATGGGCTAGCCTGTGACCCAGGGGAGGGGAGAGGCAGAAAGTGCAGAGCCAAGCAGCGTGGACCAGTGCAGGCCTGGGCAGGCCCAGCTGAGAGCAGCCCACTCCAACTTCGCTGAGACAAGGAAGGGTTGTTTTTACAGCCATTGAGTTTGGGGTGGCTTGTGGGCAGTAGCTAGCTGATACACCATGTAGTGGGTGGGCTGCCTGCTACCTCTCCACAAAGACCGTCACCTCCTCTATAATGACAAGGTACTCTCCATCTCTCCATGTCCCTTGGAACCCTGGGGGTGGGAGTGGTTTGGTTCAGGGTATCCTTGGGCAATGACAGCTGTGGGTATGTGCTGGGCGCTGGAAGGAGGGACTTACCAGACAGCACGGTGTACTTGAGGGCCTCCTGGGCCACCATGTTGGCGAGCCCACTGAGGATGGTCTCCAGTGCATTGCCAAGCTCCATCAGGTACTTGGCCTCCCAGGCCAGGCAGTACTGTTCGCGGCTCTGGGCCAGGGCAGCCCACGGGGCACTGAAGGTGCCTGGGGAGAACACGGGAAGGTGGAGTCATGTGTGTCTGTGGCAGAGGATGTCCTTTCACCCCACTATCCCAGACAGGCAGCGACAGGGGCTACCCCCTCCCTGTGGGGGACACAGCTGCCTGTCTGCCTCAGCTGTTAGCATAGCACATGCAGTACTGTGCTGCGCCATGGGTCAGTTCAGTGGTGTGGATCCCAATGCCTGTGCTCATTAGTAGTGGGTGACCTTGGGCCTACTGTCAGGAGCCGTGTACTATAGCCACACTGAAGCCATGTCAGGAGCTGTGCACTGTACCCACACTGAAGCCATTTTGAATATAGAACTATGGGCCAGTGGAAAATCCCCGGCTGGTTAGATGCTTGGGAAAGAAGTTATGAAACCAATCACAGGCTTAGCTTCAATTGTTTCTAGCAACTGTTTCAGAATGTGATTTATGCTGTACCTGCCGACATCTTGTTACTGATTACCTATGCTATTGTTGATATGCTGGTTACTATTGTGGATATGGTGGCTGCTCAAGAACAATCGGTCTTGAGACCGTGGCTTGCATCCCAGTTTCTCCTTTCCTCCCTGAGCCTTAGTTACTGAAGAATATAAAAACCCTCAGTTGAAATCAATAAACTGACAGCTTGATCAGACATCCTGTCTTGCTGTCCATTCTTCGTGTCTTTTGTCTCCCATTCTCTCCCAGGTGGTTGCGACCCCGTTGACTGTCCTGCTGGACGGGACAGCCTACCACTGCGTGACCTTGAGCCTCACTGCTCAACTGTGAAGAGGGGAGATGCTACTTATCTCCCTTCCTAGGTTAGTTCCAAGAGTTCAATCATTTCAACTATTTTCTAGATGAGGAATTATTTTCTTGCTCCTTGAAATGATTTTGGCACTCAGCAGCTGGCCACACACAGGCTAGGCTGTATGGCTGTGAGTCAGCAGCACCTTGGTTCAGCAACCACTGATGGGGGAAGAATTGGATATTGGGCAAGATGCATTAGAGCCAAGCTCTGCTGTGGTCTTACTGGGTCACCCAATTTTTCTGGGACCCAATTTGCTTATGTAAAAAAGAGGAACATGGCTCCTTGGAACAATCATGGCCAGTGTCACAGGCAGGAAAATATGACCATAGCTGGTTGCCTGCCTCTCCTTCCTCACTCTCATTGTTGCCTACAGGTCAGGAGCGAGAGAAGAAGGATGGACAGAGCCACAACAGTGGCCACTGTCACATAGACACTGTGACTGGCTGTCCCCCCACCATAGTCTGAAGGTCAAGAGCACAGTGGCCTCTGCCAGGGCCCCCAGCCACCGTTTCTGCCCATGACCCTCAGGATCTCTTAAGAAATATAAATCTCAGAATCTCGGAGAACCAAGATGGCAGAATAGAGTGAGGACATGTTTGAACAGACAGGGAATCATTACCAAGAGTGAAGCAGAGAGGGCGCAAACCAGGGAAACAGGAGAGGACAGGTTGACGGCAGAGGGACACCTGGAGATCTGTGGACATGGGGAAGTAGCAGAGTGGTGTTGCAGTGACCAGATAACCCAGTGGCAGTCAGCAATCTGCTATCAGAGTTCCACTAGCAGCCAGGTGGGAAGCGAGTTCACCAGGAGCTCAGGAAGTGACCAGGCACAGAATTGCCCATCCTGCTGATTTGCTTGATTCGACCATGAGCAGAAGCAGAGTGGCAGAGCCCAAGCAGGCAGGTGCAGGAACAGGGTAGATTTCATGGCTTGGACCCTCACCAGTGCCACATCAGGTGCCATTTTGTGTACTGAAGAAAAGGCTGTGGGATTGAAGGAACAACAGCTGGCTGCATAGGTGCTGAGCCAGGAGAGAACTCACTTCCAGCTCAATACATTGCACTGGTCTCACAGGGAAAATAGTACCTACTTGGTATCCTATGGGTCTCACCCAAAGTAGGTCCAGGTGGCCCCCAGACCTAACAGCCAGCAGTTTCCAGTGCTTTAAGACAGCCGCTGTCTCCCTAATCCATGGTACTGCTTGAACCAGGACTGGGAGGAAGGTTGTGCAGGCAATGGTGCTGCCCACAACACAGGTTCACAGAGGGTGGAGTGTGATAATCCAGGAGCTAGAGCTATGTGGAGACTATGGTGGAAGCCTAGTACAACAGCCCAGAACTGAAACTCGCTGGGGGGAGTGACACAAGTGATTGCAAATGAAGAACCATGTTCCGAACACAATCAGGATTATCAACCTCTAGACAAGGGGGCAACACAGGTTAGAAACCCTAAGGAGAAGATTCTGCTAACCAGAAGTGCAATGACCAAGAGCCAAAGAAGAGAGAGAGGCACAACGAATATTACTGATGTCTCCCCCTCAAAGGAGCAAAAAGCCTTTGTCAATCTCAAAGTTAACTGAGGAAGACATCAAAGAAATGGGAGATAAGGAATTTTAAAAACTTGTTATAAAGCTTCTTAACAATGAGAAGCACATACAGGAGTTCAAGGAATTCAAGAAATTTGTCACAGGAAATAGCAATGCTGAAATAAAACCAAGGTGAATTATTAGAAAAGAAGGACACCATGGAGCAAATTAAAAATTTAGTGTGAAGCTTCAATAACAAAATGAACAAAGGCATTAGAAAGAACTGGAACACATTTCCTTCAACAATAGGGAAACAATCAAAAAGCTGGAAGAGGAACCGAGTTAAGCTAAGAAAAGTATTCAGGAATAAAGGGACACCATTAAAAGGTCAAATGTCAGCATTATGGGCATTCCAGAAGGCACAGAAATAAAAGCTGGGTTTAAAACTATATTCATTGAAATAGTAAAGGAAGCTTCCCTAATTGGGAGAAAGAACTGGGAAAAAAGAAAGAACTGAGGGGCACAGAACTCCCAACATGTTTGACCAAAAGTGATCTTCACCATGACACATGATAATCAAATTCTCTTCATTCAAATATAAGGAAAAGATCCTTAAATTCCATGTGAAAAAAAAAAAAAGAATCAATGAACACACAGAGGAACCCCGATCAGGCTCACTGCTGACCTCTCACAGGAAACTCTACAGGCCAGAAGAGAATGTTGTGGTATCTTCTAGATTCTAAAAGCAAAAAAACTGTCAGGCCAGAATAACTTACTCACCAAAGCTTTCCTTTGTCTTTGAAAATGAAATGAAATTCTTCCACAGTAAAGAAAAGCTTAAAGAATTCATCTCTTCCAGACCTTCCCTATAAATGATACTTAAAGATGTTCTATTGACAGAGAAAGGCACCTACTAAAATCAAAGTCAAATGTGGAGAACATCCCAACACAACAGCAAATGAAAACTAAATCAAGCAATGAACAATTCATTGCCAAAATGACAGGACCAAATTACTACCTATCAGTATTAACACTGAATGTAAACGGCTTAAACTCATAAATCAAGTGACACAGATTAGTAAACTGGATCAAAAAACAACCCATCTATCTGCTGCCTACAGGAGACACAGCTCACCAACAAAGATATGTGAAAACTGAAAGTGAAATGACGTAAAAAGATATTTCAGGCCAATGGAAAAGAAAAATAAGCTGGTGCAGCCATTCCAACATCAGATAATATGGACTTTGACATGAAAAATATTGAAAGCAATGAAGAAGGATACCACATAATGATCAAAGGATTCATTCAGCAAGAAGAGGTCGCCTTACTAGTTTCTTCTATTTTCTTTTTCATCTCTAATTTTACTTGGTTTTTCTCTCTTTTCTTGGCTAGTCTGGCCAAGTTTGTTTTTGCACAGCTTCTTAAAAAATGGCTTTTTCTTGCTGCAATTTGCAGTTTTTAAATTTCAATCCTGTTTATTATTGCTGTGGTTTTTATAATTTCTTGCTTCCTTTTTGTTCATTTTTTTCCTTGTTCATTTTTTTCTTTTTAAAATAAGTTCTTGAGATGCATTAGATCATTTGAGATATTTCAATTTTTTGTAAGCACCTGATGTTATCAATGTCCCTCTCAATATGCTACATCTTGGGTTTTGATATTTTTGTTATCATTTCTTCAAAAAGGATTCATTCCCCAAGTGACTGCAATGGCCGATACTATGCTGATCTGAAGCCAGGAGCCAGGAGCTCTTCTGGGTCTCCCACGTGGGTGCAGATTCCCAAGGCTTTGGGCATCCTCGAATGCTTTCCCAGGCCACAAGCAGGGAGCTGGATGGGAAGCAGGGCCGTTGGGATTAGAACAAGTGCCCATATGGGATCCCGGTGCGTTCAAGGTGAGGACTTTAGCTGCTAGGCCATGGCGCTGTGTCGCTGTGGCTTTTCATTTAAGGAGATGTATAGTAACTGTGCAGTAGAGACTATCATCTCTAGATGTGAAGAATTCTATGCAATTCTAATGCAACTCTACTAAACTCCTAATGAAACTGTTAAATACATCTTGACAATAGGATGCTAGACTCTCTGCCATTGTCCATACCTACAATGTCAGGATAGGCTTAAATAGCAGGATGATAGACTTATGACTGTTTATGAAGGACTGTACTATTGTAATAATATAGGGGAAGTCAGTGGGAGGAGGAGGTCTGGGGAGCAGCGAGGGGAAATCCCAGAGCCTATGGAACTACATCATAAAACAATAGTAAAAAAAAGATATGCAAAAAAGAAAAAAAAACATAAATTTATGTTCTTCCATTTGCTGCCCCATTGCCTCAATCTCCCATTCTAGGAGAAGCCTTCCCAGTCTTGCATGCACTGCAGACTCTAATTTAGTCTTTGTAGCAACCTAAAGGGCAGGAGCAGTCTTGCTCCATTTGACAAGTTTGGTAGCTGAGGTATGGGGAAGTTAAGTAACTTGCTTGAGGTCACATGGCCCAGTGCACTGACCCCTGCCACAGCCCCCGTGCTCCTGTATGTCTGGCCCTGCCCTCCTCGACTCCTTTTGATTCCTGTGCAACCCTGGGCCTTGGCAATATCCTCCCCTTTTGCTTCTTATACACGTTTTGCTGCTTCTTCATCAGGCTAATTACAGCCAGCACTTCCTCTGGGATGCCTCCATAGAAAGCTCTCTGCTTCTTCCTCTGTGTCCTCCACTAAACCTGCCTACCATTGTCTCTGCCCTTTCTCTTGGGAACAGAAGCCATGACTGCACCATTCACCCCTGAATTCTTGGGGCTTGGAGCACCCAGCAAGTGCAGCCTTCTGGAAATCTGCAGCCCACCTGGGTAGGTAGATGGGCCAGAGGATGAACAGTTGGGCAGATGGGTAGGTAGCTGGCTGGCTGTGGATATGGATAGACCAGCAGGTGTGCAGGTGATGGGTGAGTGGATGCATGAATTGAGGTGAGTCAAAGTTGCCACACCCTTCTGAGGCTCAGTCTTCTTTTGAGAAATGGAGCTTCTCACGCCCATGCCCCAGAGGCACACAAGGGAGAGGAACCCACAGCCAGTGCCACCAACGTCCCTGCCCCCCGCCCACTCCACCCCGGTTCTCACGGTATCTGCCGGAGGCAAGCCACCCGGTGATGGCGATGGTGATGTGCAGCTGCCTGCCTTCGGTCAGAGGCAGGAACGTGAACTCCTCAATGGCCCCGACACGCTTCTTCATCTTGTACCCTAAAGACAGGGGCACAAGAACGAGATGGAGGTGACCGGAGCCCTGTGAGTATATGTGGGAACAGTGGTGCTCATACTCACATAGTGGTGGTAATCACACTCACACAGCAGCTATGCTCATACCCACAGCAGCTATCTGATCACACCACAGCAGCTGTCTGCTCACACTCCCACACAGCAGCTGTCTGCTCACACTCACAGCAGCTGTCTGCTCAGACCCACAGCAGCTGTCTGCTCACACTCACAGCAGCTGTCTGCTCAGACCCACAGCAGCTGTCTGCTCACACTCACAGCAGCTGTCTGCTCACACTCACAGCAGCTGTCTGCTCACACTCACACAGCAGCTGTCTGCTTACACTCACAGCAGCTGTCTGCTCACACCCACAGCAGCTGTCTGCTCACACTCACACAGTAGCTGTTTGCTCACACTCACAGCAGCTGTTTGCTCACACTCACAGCAGCTGTCTGCTCACACCCACAACAGCTGTCTGCTCAGACTCACACAGCAGCTGTCTGCTCACACTCACACAGCAGCTGTCTGCTCAGACCCACAACAGCTGTCTGCTCACACTCACACACTGTGTTCACACCCCCAGTAGTTATGCTCACACAGTGGTTGTGTTCACACCCACACAGTGTGCACCAATGGACAGACAGGCTTTGTTTTTGCATTCAATACAGAAGGTGCCATGAGACTCCCTGACTGCAGAGGAGGGTGAGAGGCCACCAGGCCAGCCAGCTGTCAAGGGCAGAGCTGAGTCTGGTCTCAGAGCTGAGGCTTTTAACTGCTGTTCCCCTGTGACTCAGCTGGTCCTGCCTCCTTTCCCTTCCCTGCATGCATTAGAGTAGACTGAACTGAGCACAACTCTCAGCAGCATAGTGGCATTCACTAGGGGAGCAGACAGTGTGTGTGTGTGCGTGCGCGCGCACGCGCGTGCAAGGGAGCTACATGGACATAGGGGAGGTGGCCAAGGGAGGGCAGTCATGTCCTCCAAGCAAGGAGGCTCCCTGGAAACCTCCCAAACGGCAGAAGTGTGCACATGGAATGTGGGGGTTCCAGGTCCCCAGGAAGTCACAGCAAGGTGTGGCAGGGCTGGGACCCAGAGTGGAGAGGGTCACGTATGCTCTGTCCCGCAGGGAGCCATCTCAGGTTAGAACCTTTGGGCCTCCCAGGCTGAGTCCCGCACAACCCACGCTTCCCCTTGACCCTGACCTGTGAGGCCAGCTCCAGCAGCACCAAAGAGTGAGGTCATGACAGCTATGCCTGCCGTGGAACCCAGCACTGCCGCCCCAGCACTGCCGATGATTGTGGCAGCTCCGGCTGCAACAAGGGGGGCGGCCAGACCCCCGGTTACACCTGCAGGAGAAAAGTTTACAGTTGTAAAGGTTGGGGCAACCTTTTTTTTTATATATGGAACGCTTCACAAATTTACGTGTCATCCCTGTGCAGTGGTCATGCTAATCTTTTCTGTATCGTTCTAATTTTAGTATATGTGCTGCCGAAGCGAGCACTGCCTATTGCCTTCTATGGAAGTGGCCAACAATGCCAAGGACACAGTTACCTCCGCCAAGGCATCTATCACACCCCAGTGCTGCCTTCCAGCCCGGCCCCACCCACCCTCACCTCCCAGCCTGGAGGGCCTCTCGCACTGCAGATCCTGGCCCAGCGCTGTCCTCCCCAGTTGGCCTCACCGATCACTGTCCCACCGCCGACGGTTGCCAGGCCTATCAGGAGGTATCGCTTCCACTTCCTCCGCTTCTCCTTCTTCTTCCGGGACGCCTCAGCCATCCTGAGAGAGATGTTGGCCTTTTGGGCGGGCTGTGCCTCAGGTCCCTTGAGACCGCCCCATCTCACCAGTCCCCAACCCAAGCTGGCCAGATGCTAAGCCGTGCAGAGTCAGGCACTAGAGCCACCCTGGCCCAGGGATGGTTTTCAAGGGTAAAGCCCAGTCAGGGGTCTTTCTCGGTGTATGTGTTGTGCTACTTACCCAGTGGTCCATCCTAATGGGGTTGCAATTTGAAAATGGAGAGACAAAAAAAAAAAAAAGAAGAAGTAACAGCAAGAGATGAACAAAAATGACCTTTAAACAGATGGGCCCCAAATGAGTCCTGCATAGAATTCCAGACCCTGGGACCTCCCTCCCCCCAGCCACCAGATCCTACTCACCCCCGCCCCCTGGGACACATGGAAAACAACTTCCTTCAGAACCATCATATGGAAGATATTCTACAGAGAGGAAAGCACAGGAGACCTTGACCTTGGAACAAAGGCTAGACTCGATCAGACCCAAAATGCAATCACAGTGAAACTTAGTAAAAGGGAAGCACTGGCGAGTATGGAGACCTGGCACTGTGAGGGCTCAGGGGGCACGGAGCTCCGTCTTCCTGCTGGACACTCGAAGCTGGTGAGAGCTGAGCATCCTGGGAGCAGGATGGAGCGGGTCGATAAGTGGGAACTCTGGACTGGAGCCGGAGTTCTGACAACAGTTCATTAACAGCAGGATGATAGCCAATGATAAGGATAATAAAAGAAGAAATGGTTAATATTTAGTGAGGGCTTCTGATACAGCAGCCACCAGGGCCTCCTTCTCACACTATCTTATCCTGAGAAGTGCCCTTGTCACTGAACCACATCACAGATGGATCAAGGGATTGCACTAGCCACTTCCCGAGTGCCGAGGTGGGTGTCAGTCAAGAGCACGTGGGAAAAGCGTTCAGAGTGTGGGTTGGGACGCTGCATGTTTAGGACAAACCTGTGGCCCTGTGCTCATGAAACAGTGTCAACTGAGGCTCAGTTTCCTCTTTCATAAAATGGGGGTAATAACATCTTATCTAATAAGTTTGTTACTTTGCAGTGACCAAACTCGCTCCTTGCTTATCCATCCAATCAACAAGCTACATCTGCATGGAGACACCCCAGCCTCCTCATCAGCAAAGAGCTGGAGTCAGAACAAAGGCAGGTGCAGAATCTGGGCACTTGGAATATGGAATGTTGGACATTTTCACTGCTGGGCCAGATATCGCCCCAAACCACACCTTTTGTTGAGAGATGGCTCATTCTCCAAGCGAGTCAAAAGAAAGGGATTTGAATTAGGCATTAGTGAATCAGCTGTGCTTTCTGGCTCCTGGATGACCAGCTCAATGGACAAACATCTCCCTGGGCACCTCCAGGGCACATGAAGCACAGCACTGCTCAGCTGAGAAGCAGAAACCCATGGTGACAACCTCTTATCCTGTGCAGTCACAGTGCTGGTTTTCCATTGCTGATGTTGAAGTCATCAATGGAGGGGGCTGAGGCTGAGCCCTGTGCACCTGGCTCAAGTTCAAGGTGGGACAGGAATTGATGGCAAGAGTTCTGGGCTCCTACGCTGTTGTGGTGTAGGCTGGTTCACCACTCAAGCACCCAGGCAGCCCTCCCCGCAGAAGGCTCACGGTGCCACCCTCAGTATCGTCAGGGATTGCAAGGAGTCCCTTAGATAAAACGCACATAACCTATGCCAGCCTCCCATAGACTCGAGTATGTGCTTATTTTCATTTTACTGACACACACAAACAGATATAGAAGGAGAGCTCCTGCCTTCTTGCCTCAATTGGTTCCCAGAAGAGCTAGATGTGGGCTAGGCTGAAGCTGGAATCCTGGGACTCCATCTGGGTCTGTCATGTGGATGATAGGAACCCAAGTCCATCACTGTTGCTTCCAGGGTGCACATTAACAGGAAGCTAGAGAAGTGGAATAATTTGGATTTAAATAGGCGTGCCAGTATGTGACTAACCATGGCACGATGCTTGCCCCCTCCCTTATACTTTAAATCAATTCTAGGTGTCACGCCATACCAAATAGGAGGTAAGTTTTTAGTAAGTAGTTGTTGTACTGTATCATTTTGGAATACTGACCAGATTATGAAGTCTGCGTGTGTTTAGCACAGACATATTTTTTTTTCTGAGTATTTTCAATTGTAGTTGGCTGAAAATGAAACCTGCAGATACAGGGAGAGCTGATGAACTGACTGATCACATGACCAGCTTTAGACAATCAAGTGTGGTGGGAAGTGGTGTTGATAATTTCTGGCAAGATCCAGGCAGAAGCCTGATTCATTTATTTTGGTCCACCCCAAGACCAACATCTTTTTGAACAGGGACCAAGCCAACATGGGTAATGGCCACAGCCAATAGATTCATTTGTAGAATTCATTTGTAGAATGAATGAGAAACAGCTGCTGCAAGCCATTGTGGTCTGGCGGTTGCTTGTTATAGCAGCAAGCTCCAGCCTATGCTGGCAGGCAGGAGTCCCTTGCTCCCTCTGTGACTATGTGCAACCCCTAACCTCCTCTAAATCTCCTGATCCAACAAACAGCACGGGGTGCTGGTGCCGGGCAGACTCAAGATCACAGGTGGCCGCTATCACCAGCCCTCCGTTCCCACACTAACTTCCTCCTACATGGAAGCTGGGGGGCAGACTTTGGCCATTCACTAACGAACCTGACCTCAGTTCAGAGAGGAAGGATGGAACTCACTTTCGACAGCTCAATTCCTGAGAGAAAAGCCCATGTGGCTGTTGATGCAGATCAGGGACACGTGACGGGCAAGCACGTGGCTGTCAGTCGGTAGCAAACACTTACGGGAAGAGCCGGACACCGGCAAGGACGCACCGGCAAGGACGCACTGCTGTGACCTTGCTCAGGTCACCCAATTTTTCTGAGCCTCTGTTCTCTCACGGAGGAAATGTGATGAGACAGCACCAGGCACCACCATTGTGGCCAAGGTCAAGTAGGAAATAACTGACTGTTGGCCTCCCTCTCTTCCTCCCTGATGGCTCACCCTCAGGTCTCAGTGCAGTGTCCCCTCCCCAGCCTATGCTCTGGGCAGTGTCCCCTCCCCAGCCCACACTCAGGGCAGTGTCCCCTCCCCAGCCCACACTCAGGGCAGTGTCCCCTCCCCAGCCTATGCTCTGGGCAGTGTCCCACCCCAGCCCACACTCAGGGCAGTGTCCCCTCCCCAGCCCACACTCAGGGCAGTGTCCCCTCCCCAGCCCACACTCAGGGCAGTGTCCCCTCCCCAGCCTATGCTCTGGGCAGTGTCCCACCCCAGCCCACACTCAGGGCAGTGTCCCCTCCCCAGCCCACGCTCTGGGCAGTGTCCCCTCCCCAGCCCATGCTCTGGGCAGTGTCCCGTCCCCAGCCCACACTCAGGGCAGTGTCCCCTCCCCAGCCCACACTCAGGGCAGTGTCCTGTCCCCAGCCTACACTCTGGGCAGTGTCCCCTCCCCGGCCTATGCTGGGCAGTGTCCTTCCCCAGCCTATGCTCTGGGCAGTGTCCTTCCCCAGCCTATGCTCTGGGCAGTGTCCCACCCCAGCCTATGCTCTGGGCAGTGTCCTGTCCCCAGCCTACACTCTGGGCAGTGTCCCCTCCCCGGCCTATGCTGGGCAGTGTCCCTCCCCAGCTTATGCTCTGGGCAGTGTCCCCTCCCCAGGATGATCCCAGGGACTGCTTGGCCCCTTCCATCTCTAGCTTCATCTCTCCTTGCTTCCTGACTTAACCTTTACCTTCCAGAAGCCACACTGAGCTGCCCGCAGCCTCCATGAGTGCTCTGTCTCTGGTCCCTCTGCCTCTTTGTCATACTCTTCTGAGATTCCAAATCAGTGATTTTGCATAGGATGGGTTTCTGAAGCACCCAAAGCACCTGGCCAGAGTCTGTCAGGAGGGGAGTTGCTTGGGGATCCTGGTCTAAGTTGAGTTGGGAGATGGCTGGGCTGAGCCTCCAGTGCACCTCAGCAGCTTTTCCAGTGCCTGGAATCTGGGGGCACCAGGACACTACTCCTGAGTAGAACCCAAATGATGTCAGCAAGGCTGAGAGCAGATGCCTGGTGACAATGGCAGTCTCCTGCTCACTGTCTAGTTCTCTGAACATCAGAGGGGCATAGAATGCACACTCCAACTCAATATGATCTGGGGAGAGTGCTTAGCCTGGTGGTTAAGATGCCATTTGTCCTGCACCAGAGTGCCTGGGTGCCAGCCCTGGCTCAGGATTCTGACTCGCAAGCAGTGAGCATAGCTCAAGTAGTTGCGGTCCTGCTACTCATGTGGGAGACCTGAATTGTATTCCCAGATCCTGGCTTTGAGGTGGCCCAGCTCCAGCTGTCACAGGCCTGTGGGGAGTGAATCAGCACAAAGGAATTATCTATCTACCTCCTCCAAGCCCCCAAAAGAGCATGTGTAGCTAGATTACACACCAACCATGTCCCGAATGGAAAGAGATATTAGAGCAAATCTGAAATGCTAGACCCTTCCCGTGATTTCCACAGATTTATTAAGAAATGAGTTAAACTCTAGAATTAGTTCATTGGACTTTCTTGGCATCATCTGCTTCTATATTGTTCCTAGAGTGATACCTTCACATTTGTGATCCCACAGTCACTTATTTTATCTGAGTTTGATGGGAGGGAAGACCCACGATTTAACAGACTAAAGCAAATAGACAGCAAATAAATACGGTCCTTGAAGTCCACGCTGCTTAACTGCATCAATGCTCGCACAGCAAACCAATGCTACAGAGGTTAGTTGGATGACATGCTGTAATCTCACTCACCCTTTATTCATTAAAAAAACTATCATCCTAATACAAATTTCTTTGAAAAAATGTATTTGAAAGGCTGATATATACACATATATGTGTATGTACACATATATATTTTTGTGTGCACACACACAAGAGCTGCCATCTGCTTGTTCACTCCCTAAATGCCTTGCAATGGTCAGGCTGGGCCAGGATCCGCCCCAGGAGCTGGGAGCTGGTAACACTACCCAAGTCTCCCAGGTGGGTGGCAGCCACCCAATTACTTGAGTCACCCACTCTGCCTCCCGAGAGACAGGAAGCTGAAGCCAGGATCTGGAGGTGGGAATAGAACCCAGTTGTTCCAGCATGGGATAGGAGCATTTTAATCCAGCTCATCCTTGTAGGTTCATTTCAGGTACACTATTCTTATGCCCATGTAGCAAGTCAATCCATTTCCCCATTTCAGTATCCGCACATTCTAAATGCTTATTTTGTACATAAAGGGGATATATTTCCCAGTTGGATGGATCCAACCATGAATTATCACAGCACCTTACTTTTGCAATTCCATCAATTATCTAACTGAATTCGTTTTCACATCTCAAGCACCTGAGGAGACATGGCCCCTGAGTCACACCTGCAATGCTGCCTTTCCTTTCCTTGGAAGGGAAGATTCATGATAAACAGCCAATCAGATGATGGATTCGCTGCTACTGTGGACTTTGCCCGCCAGTCAGACATGATGGCACCCAGCGCATCATGTGCAACCACTGGTCATGCGCACGTTCTCGAGTGTCAATGATGAACTGGGCTTGGCACTCCATGGTAGCCTCCCAAAGGCAGATGCCAACTCCCAGGCTGAAGCCAAAAACACCTTATGAAGAGCGGAGGGTAAGACTCCCATGCAGCCATCTGGTGGGTCATGGCAAGTTCTCCTTGCTGTCTTGGCATGTTCCTGTGAGGGAGCACCCTGCCCGGACCACTGGCAGTACCACCACCTCTTCTGCAATCCTGTGTTGCGTTAACAGGCAGATGGTGCCATCCCAGGGGTCTGTAGATGTCTTCCTCTAGGGTCACACCTAGGAAAGGCCCAGGAAGGAATTCTCCTGACTATCTCCAGCACGAAGGAGGGAAGCTGGGACTGTCATTCAGGCCTGCGGGTCCTGGACATGAAGACCAGGAAGGAGAGAGCACTTGGACAGATGCTCCTTTCCACCCTTGACCTTTCTCTTCATCTGAGAGACCCACAGGGCACAAGAACTCAGTGCCAATCAGACACCAAGACCATGGTGATGACATCTCTGTGGCCCTGCAGTGGGCCGAGTGCTACAAGCTAGCTAGGTTAGTATGGGGCTCATTATACAGCCACCTGGGATGCCTGCAATCCATGGGAGCAACGGATCAAGTCCCAGCTGCCCGCTTCCAACCCAGCTCTCTGTTCATGTGCCTGGGTGGGCAGCAGCAGGTGCGCCTGGGTCCCTGCCACTTCCATGGGAGCCTTGGATGAAGCCCCTGGCTCTTGGCTTTGGCCTGCTTCAGCCCTGGCTGTGGAAGCTGTTTGGGGATGTCTCTCTTTGTGTGTCACTACTTTTTCTGTAACTCTGTCTTTCAAGTAGATAAACAAATACATTTTAAAATTTAATTCAGTCCCACCGCAGCTGGGGACTTTCACACTGCTATCACCTTCTTGCTAGATATGACAAAAAACTAAGGCACACAGCAGAGAAGTCCCTCTCCAAGTGAGGGAATCCTGGATGGGCACAGGGTGGAGGACACAGGCATACAGGGACAGCACATCACACATCAGACTTTGGCCTCAGAAACCTGGCTCACAGGGCCAAGGAATACCCTCACCTGTCTGCAAAATGTGAACCCCCCAGGTCAAAAGAGAGAGGGACAGCACCATGGCCATGGCCACACAGGGACGCAGGGTCTGGCTGTCTCTGTGGATCTCAGACCCTTCCAGGGACCAGTGACAGACTCTTGGAGGTGGGAGGGGAGGAGCCTCCAAGACAACAGACACACACAGGAAGCACTTCCATGGGAAAGGGTCGGTGCCTCCCAACAGCAACCCCGTGGTGCAGCAGGGCTGCCCACAGCGTGTGGTGATGGCCCAGTTCTCCTCCCCAGGACCACTTCAAGCACCTGGACCCTTGGCAGATGGCGCTGAGGGTGAGGACACTGAGACCTGGAGAAGTGAGGTCATGGCCCAGGGTTGCCTAGATGGTAGGTGGCAGAGCAGGGCCGTGTTGGAGTTTCTGCCAGCCATCTTCCCAGGTTGGCTCTCTTATAATTCTCAGAACACACTCCTCTGAGAACTGTGCTGCTTTCTGACAACGAGACTTCCGGGTGATAGTGACCAGGCCCTTACTTGCTGGCATGCGGAATCCCACACACTGCCGCCCGTAGGGGAAGAAGTGGGGACCCAGTCCCAGTGTTTCTGCGCTGATAACAGCCCTGGGAATTGTGGCAAGAGGTTTCAGGTGATTTTGACATACCAATTTTCCTCCTTTCTTAAGGAAACACCCCTCCACTTTGTCCCATAAACCCGGGGAGGAGGGAGGAGGGCGGCTCTGGCTCTGAACTTGGCCTCAGGACTAAATTCCCTAGGAGGGGTTGAACTGGTGCAGGCGGGCTGCTCAAAGGAAGCCTCTGGGGCCAAACAAAACCCAAAGCCCTGTAGACGTGCCTGGTGCCAGGAGCCTGCAATCAGCCTGCAACTGAGACGGATTTATTGCCCTGGGATTAGATTGTGCGGAGATAACTTCCCTCTACACACTTCTGACTCTGTAGAGATAGTCAAGCTGCCTCAGAGCTGGCAGGTGCAGTGGTGGGAGGGGAAGGGCAGGACTCTGTGAGTGCAAGCCCCTGCTAAGCACTTGGTAACATGACTGCATTCCTTCTCCCAGCCTCTGGGGGTTCTCAACCTTATTTCTGCTTCATAGATTTACAGATTAGAACACAGGGTCACACAGTGGGCAGGTGAACCCAGCTCACTGAGGACCATGGACAAGCGGTTGGAAGAGCCTCAAGTCAAGCAGAGTCACAGGACACGAAAGCCACTAATTTGGGGGTGGGGGGCTTAACTGATAAGGACAGAGGCCCAGAGAGGGCAGGGGACTTCCTAAGAGTACGTAGCAGGTCAGGACCACAGCCGGGACCCCGGGCCAAGGCTCCTTCTTCCTCCTCTCTCAGGGAAGAGACAACACTCTGCGATGTGCAGAGTTTGAACCAGGGAAGCCCCGGCTCCTGGTAGGGGTCTTCAGGTTCTCTTACTCAGACTCTTCCTCTCTGGTTTCCTTCAGGCTCTCTAGGAACGTGTCTTCCAAGAGATCCAGCCCCTCCAAGGGCACCTGGAGCAGGGAGCTCACGTGACCTACGAGGACTCTGGCCCGGGCATCATAGCACCCTAGAGAGAGAGAAATAACAGGTCATGGCATCAGTTTGGACCATCTGTTCAGAGAAGTTTGCTACGGTGTGACAGATCAACCCCACAGTCTCGTGACATCCTGCAGGGACAAGGGCATCAGAGGTGGTCAGTGACATGACAGCACAACATCTCAGGTGGGATGCAACATCAAAGGCAAGAGGGAGGCTTTCACACATCACCTGAGCAAAGACTCATTTTCTAGATTCTGGAGGCAATTAAGCAGATGGTGGAAATGGGTCCACGGATGTGTCCACTGGGAACATGTTTTCTGGAGGGCAACCTGACAATACCAGTAGGTATCACATACCTAAACATCCTCACCCTGGGCTGCAGGTGTATAGCCTAGTGGTTCAAACGCCCAAGGCTCCCTATCGCAGCACTTGGGTTGGATGCCCAGTTCCCACTCCCACGTCTCGCTGCCTTCCACTGAGTGCTGATGGCTGAGTTCCCTGCATCCCTGGCGTCCACACGGGAGACCAGGACTGTGTTCTGGGCTGGGCCAAACCCTGGGCATAGCAGACATCTGGGGATTGAACCAGTGGATGGGAGAGCTCTCTGACTCTGTTTCTACTCCTCAAATCAAATAAAAAAGTCTGCATTCTCTTTGCCTCAGGGATTTAATTCCAAGAATTCTAATCTCAAAGAAGCAGTTCTAGATGTAGATGATATGCAGCAAATTAAAGCATGATGGGCTAAATTTATAACATAAAATTGGAAACAATCTGGAGGTTTCCAAAATCAGGAAATTCGTTAAGTAAGCCACATGTGTTCACGCCCTTGGAAAACTGTGGGTTTATCAAACGACTCCCAGTGAAAGTTTATAGTAACTGCAAAAACGTCAATGTGATAAAATGAGCTAGAAAATTAGATTCACTTGAGAATGTGCCATGGGTACCAATGAGGGGAAAAAACAGGAAAAATAAAAGGAAATATAGGTAACATATAACTTTTTTATTTTAATGATTTATTTATTTTAAAAGTTACAGGATGAGAGGGACACACACACACGGATTTTTCATTCCATGGCCAGGGCTGCCAGGCTGACGCCAGAGCACAGGAACCCCATCAGGGTCTTCCTCACACTTAGTAGGGACCCGAGTAATTAGGCTACCTTCCCATTAGCAGAGAGCTGATAGCAAGGGAGCAGCGGGGACTCGAACCAGAGCTCTGATGGAAGATGCCAGGGTTGTAAGTGGAAAGGTTAGCTTGCAGAGCCACAACACTGGTTCACTTAAGATGTTTTTTCTCCTTCCTTTTCAAAAGTATCCATTTTGAACTTGGGTCACTTTTATAAATGGAAAAATTAAACTGTGAAACGTTGGCCCAAAACATGTGTCAATTCTTTAAATATATAGCCCAACCCGTTAAGGACAGGATCTCAGAGGAGCAGAACGAACCAGCACTGACCCGCCTGCTGTGACACCAGCGTCCCATAGAGGCTGCTCCGCTTCCAATCCAGCTCTGCACTAATGCAACATGGGGTGGTCTGGGGAACTGTGCTCTTCCCATTCACCTGGGAGACGTGGGAGGGGTTCCAGGTTCCCCCTTTGGCCTGGCCCAGTGCTCGCTGTTGAGGCTACTTGGGGAGTGAAGCAGCAGATGGAAGATCTGTCTCTCCCTCCCACCCTCTTCACAACTCCACTTTGCAAACAAGCAAATGTCTTTTAGAAAATCAGCACCAGCCCCGTGGATTCCTGTCTTTGCATCGATCCTATGCAAAGTGTCCCTTTCCCACCAAGACTCTGACCAGCCTACACAGCCTAACTCCACTCCATGTGTCCAGCAACGGGTCCCCTGTGTGGCACAAAGGACCCTTCTGGGGTCCTTTATGAAGTCTTAGGTGACTTCAGGAATTATATCTCACCCCGCCACCCAACACCTAACCGGGAGCTCCCATGATCCCCTCCCTCGCTGTTTGGATGTGATGTCTCCAACTCTATGAAATCCCATCATTTCGCTTTTTCCCATCCAGCCTGGTTCAGGCCCTCAGCTGCCAAGCGAATCTTCGCTGGCTCCTCTGCCTCTGTCCTACCTCTGCCATGACCCGTCCACACCTGCTGGCCTGGCCCTTGGGGAATCATCTCACCTGCTGGCCTGGCTTCCCTTGGCTCCCAGCACACCAGGCTGGACTGCCCATCTCACCTACCAGTGAAGGGGGTCTCTGGGGTCGGGCAGTACTGGTTTGGCCCCCCTTTGCCATTTCCTATCTGAGGGGCCTGGCTCCCTTGGGCTGCAGGCATCCTGAGATATTAAGAATCAATCACTTACAAAGCTGCTTTATGCAACGTCAACACTACCCGACCCAACGACCTTAGAAACATTTATTCCTGTGGTTCTGGAGGGCACAGCCTAACATCAAGTGATTAGCAAGGCTGTGTTCTTCCTGAAGGTGCCAGGTATTTGTTCCCGTTATTGTTGCTTTTGCTTCTTCCTTCCAATCACGCAGACCTCTGCCCCGGGGCTCCCAGTTCTGCTCTCACACCTTCCTGTCTTCCTTTTTTTTTTTTTTAAATGTATGCATTTATTTGAAAGTCAGAATGACAGGGAGGGAGGGCTGGAGGGAATTAGAGAAAGACTTTTCCATCCACTGGTTTTAAATGGCCATAATAGTCAGGTCTAGGCTGGACTGAACCCAGCAGCCAAGAACTCCACTTGGACATCCCATGTCAACACTTGGGCCATCTTCCACTGCCTTCTCAGGCACATCAACAGGGAACATTTGGAATTAGAACCAGTGCTCCGCTGGGATGCAGCCTCTGCAACTAGTGACTTAACCCACATTGCCACAAGGCTGGCCCTTCCTGTCTTCCACTCAAGAAGACCCTGTGACTGCGCTGGTCAATCCAGGATCACGCTGCTGTTGGCCTTGGGTCCTCCAAATTCATGCAGATATTTAATATGCAAAGTTTGAGGTCGGCAATGAATGGGTCAGTGCTAATGTCAGGTGGATTGTGATGGCCAGAGGGTGGGCCCAGACTGAGATCACTGGGGATCTGCCCTCAGGAGGCGGCTGCTACAAGAGGGAAGAGTTAGCCGGGCTACTCTTAACTCTGCACCTGTTCATCTCCATCAGACCACAGCCTGACGGAGTCGCCTGGTCCTGGACTGTGTCCCCCCAAGACTGTGAGCTGACATGAGCTTTCTCCCCTTCTTCAAGCCTCTTGAAGCTTTCTGTCTAGGCAGTGAAAGCAGACTTAACTGGGCCCATCTCCACGAGATGCACACTTAGTCACACCTGCCAAGTCTCTTCTGCCAGGGAGGGTGGCAGTCACAGGCTGCGGACACAGACACCTGGGTGGCGGGGGGGAAGGAAAGGGGAGTGGCCTTTTGTTAGTACCAAAGCCTTGAAGTTTTATTTCCTGACCCAAGGCATGGCTCAACTATCACCCCCACTTTGAGCCCTCTCTGACCTTGACTTCTCAGGGTGTCTCTGGTTTCTTGCAGAGGGGTTTCAGTGCAGTAAAAAAGGGTTTCTTCCCTTTTTTACTACACTCGTCTGGGTCCTGCCAGACTTCAAGCTTCCTGCCTGTACAGCCACCCCCAGCACCTGCCTGCCTGTGGGACGGCACATTCAAATGCTCATCAGATGCTGATCAGTGAATGGACAAACTTCTGATTCCGCAGGCGGACTCTGACTGAAGCCCTAGGCCAGGCTTCTGAACTAGATCTCTCTGGCTCAAAGTCAAGGGCTTGGCATTCCCTTGGGCTGTACCGCCAGGCCCTGTGTGGATATGGCCTGTGAGACACAAGCTCTCTGAAGGGCTGAAATCCAAATCCAGGTGCCATCACACCCACTGGAAAGTTTCCCAAGTCTCACATATGGGAATCTCCTTTCCTGGCCTCAGATTTCCAAGAGAGGGTCTGGTCAATGTAATATGGGCCCCATAATGTCAGCCCCAGAGGCCTCAGCTTTGGCACAGCCAGTCAACTTGTTGTGTGGTGAGGGTTTACATTTGCCAGCCACCCTGGACTGTCTCGCTGGATGAGGGCCTGTGTACGTGCTAGGGGACAGAGAGCCATGTGGTGTGTCGGCAGGTCACTGGGCTAATTAACGTTCCACAGACACAGAGCAGTGCCTGTTGCACCTGGGTGATAAGCGGGCTGTGCAAACCAAGGCTTGGCCGCAATGATTAATGGGTGGTAATCACAATCAGTGGCTAATACATACTCTGTAGGTCAAGGCTGTGGCGATACAGCTGCCAGGTACAGGGGTGATTACCATTCCTGCACGGGGCTTGGGGCAGGGTCGTCTCAAGGGCCTCTGTGGCCGGGCTGCTGGTTGTGGAGCTGAGTTCTGAGTCAGGCAGGTGTGGAGGGTGGGGATGGGACACAAGCCCTGGGCTCAGTAACAAGTGCTTCATCCACACTGGAACTTGGGCTAAAAGCCTGGACATTGTTGCTGATTTTCCCCCTCCCATGCTGATATCCAATCCACCTGCTGGTACGGTCAGCTGCACCTCCAAAGTAAACCAACCTCAGTCTAACCTCTGTGATCCCTTAGCCCCCACCCCACTGGCCTCTCAGCTTCCCCTCTGCACCTCAACTCCATCTGCCACACAGCACAGAAGGATCCCGTCACCACCCTGATGGGGCTCTCATCCTGCAATGCATCTTGATGCAGTTCTCAAAACTGCAGTGGTCCCCAAAGCCCTTTAGAATCAAATCCATATTTCTCCCAAGAGTTTGTAAGATTTTGTTACCTGGCCCTCTCTAGCCGCCCCTTCCCACCTCACCGTCTCTCTGCCCCTGCACCATGCATCACATCTTCCATGTCCACAGGTCAAGCCCACGTCTGCCCAGGGCCTTGGCACTGGCCACTTTTACCACTCTGGAAGCAATTTTCCCAGAATTCTGCCTGGCTGGCTGTCATCCATCAGCCAAGTGTTAATTTACACATCACCTCCTTAGAGAAACCAGGGGCTCTAAGTTTATCTTCTGGTCCCCCTGGTCTCCTGGCTCCAGAAGCCTGTCATTGTTAC